CCAGATAACGACCAAGTGGCATGGCATCTCACTTTGGCAGCAGTAAGCATCTTCTCCACGAGCTCGTACTTCTTCACTGTGTCGGTGGTATCGCGACGCAGCACCTCCCAGTCAGCAAGCAAGGTTGTCACTACATCTGCGTGCTTCTTGGCAGTCAGACGAGCCTGCCGACGTTCCTTCTTCGTGTAGAAGCCTAGTGGATAACAAAAATCTGAAACCCTTTCTAGTTGTTGATTAAGGCCTGCAAGAAATTTGAATCTCATCCACAGAGGCTCATCAACATCAACCGCTCAACGGTGGCGACTACGGCAGTAGTTATCAACTTTGTAAGTCATTTGATTACTCTTTAAAGACTGGAGAAACGCACCGTTTTAAACAATGCATCTTACAGTAAAATGAAAAATGGAAACAACAAAACTTTCAAACGATAAATGAACCATTTGGGGAATGCCTGTTGATGGAAGGAAACCACAAACCGCTTTCCCAAAAATAGTTGTTTTGAGCGCTTGATGAAGGAGAATAAATTCTTTGAAGAATATACTACGGATTCACTCACGTTTTGCCTTCTTTTTCTGCAAAAAAAGCTACGTTAATACATAAATTGATTCTCAAGCAGCTTAAGATTAAAGACCAACATACAGTGTAAAGTTTCCCTTTCCCAAACTTCTTTCCTGAAGAACCCTGAAAAATAGGTGCATAAAAAAGTAAACAAGGCTCACTTTTGGCTGGTTCCCTGTGCCATCTGCCTACAATAAGAATTAAAAAAGTAGAACATCAAACACAAACACGTACATGATCGCCTTAGATACTAACTTTTGCAAATGCATTGCTTGGAGATAACTTCCTCGTAGAGTCCTTCATTTTTTTGTTCTGGGGTTCATTTGATCCTCCTGAAATGGAATGCAAACGAAGATTAAATGTAAACCCACTTGAAGCATTGAAAAATAATGAAAACCAGTTTCTTGTCACCTGATTTATGTGCCAAAGCACTTGACTTCTTCAAAATTCCTTTCAGAACCTAATTAAAAATACTATGTGAAGTGAGAATGACTTTGTATACAAGAACCCTTGGTGAAGAGATGAAACACCAAACTGACTTACAGGTTTTGAACCTGGTTCATTAGTAGTATTTCCTAAGTTTTAGAACATGCATTAGGAAAGAAGACCTTACCATCTCCTGATTTAAACCTGACCGATCTCTTGATGTTATTAGTCTAAAACAGCAACATACAAGGAAACACTAGCTGAATGCTACCACTCGATAAGAGGTAGAGAAATTAAAAACACTGCGCAAAAGTGAATTGGCAAACATACAGAGACATGACTGATAAAAATAAAGCCAAACTGCAAAGAAATAGAATGGCTTGATACCTCCCCTTTTTTCTGTTTGACCATCATCACCCACACGTGATTGCCGCGGCACAACTAGCACACCCTGTGGAAAATAACCAATGAAAAAAGAGATAGGTGTTGTACTTGTGATCCTTTGCACGCCAAAGCCTGTGGGCGAAAAGAACAGATACGTTAAAACGCTACACTCTGTCAAACTTTAACCAAAGGAATTCAAAAGCAACTTTCTATGTCTAGTTTTACTTCTAAAGAGCTTTACTTTAACTCGAACGAGATTTAGCTTGTTTATTTTAAGATTTTGTTGTTAATTAGGAAGAGTCAAACACAAAAGAAATTTCAAAAAAGCTGCTCCTTTCATTACATAAATTAGAATAGTAGCTCTATTCATCTCTGTTAAGTCGCATCGATATGGCAATAAGTAGGATGACAGCATTGCGTAGGAATGAATGCAAAGTGATGTAGGCTAAAGGTAATTCTATTGAACGAATATACATCCTGTAGCACCTAAGGACTTTTCACCGGATGAAGAGGCTGGATACATGTATTAAGAAAAAACAAAGCGACTAAGCGCAAGCATGGCCCGAAGGCCAGTCCACGAGTAAGAAGACCAGACAAATACTAAAGTGACCG